CTGGTGGTGGAAAACTATAATGAGCAAGCAGCTTCACCACCAGGCTTTAGGAAAAGCTGCCTCTTTTGGTGGTTTTTTTATCCTTCCTAAATAAAGGAACTGGGGAAGAAGCAGAAACAGGCCCAAGAGGAGGAGCAAATGAGAAAAGCCACCATCTCGCACTAAGCCTCTGTGAACTGACACAAAAGGAGCAATGATTTCTTTGGCTTTCTTCTGAACTTTTTGGGGTTTGTGGCTTTGGATTTCAATGTAGAAGATATGTTCAACCTAAGATGCAGTTTCCTAATTGCCACTACTCCAAATGATGGTTTGTTTGCTTTTTTTTCCAGTTTTTCAAGAAACGATTTATTTTAATTTAGTTTCCTAATGTTAAGAAATTGATCTGGTATTGATGTCTGCTAAGGATGCCCACTAATTATAAAAATGTATTTTATTTACCTAATTCAGAATGATGTCTTGTGGCACATATTGAATCATAGAATTGTTCATGCTGGAAAAGACTAAAAATCATCAAGTCCAACCATTAATATAGCACTGCCAAGTTCATCACTAAACCATGTCCCTAAGCGCCACATGTTTTACTACAGGCAGTTCTGAAAACAGGAGAACCTGATGCAAGAGCCCATTTAAGTGTGGTGGGGAAATCCTTCTGTGAAGGAGCCATTGCACTCTGCTTGGCGGGCCTCAAGCTGTACCGGTTAACAGCTCTGAAGCTCTGGTGGCCATTTCTGCTGCCAATCACATGTGTTTGGATTTTGAAGCAGTGCAAACAAAAACATAAAAACCCCCACCACACACAGGTGCAGAGTCCAAAATCTCAGCTCCAAACAGGAGAACAAATAGGATCCAGTGCAAGAGCCTGCCCTGTGGCAGCCCTGTGAAGCCAGCAGTGCTGCGTGGAGGGCAATGCTCCAGCCTGGGCAGTGGAGATGCAGTCTAAGCATGGTTCGAGGCTGGGAGATGCTGATGGGAGCCAGCTAAGAGGAGGGTCAGAGCATCTGACACAGACCTAAGTGCCTTAGTATGCGTAACAACTGGCTGTGTGGGCACTGCAAGCCTGCTCTTGAAGGGTGTTCCCCCTCTCCTGCACACCAAAACCTTCCACAGTCCAAGGCAAGAGCACCAGGCAGGGCTCTAAGGAGGAATTCATCTCCCCAACACATCCACCACTCCCCCACCTAAACATTATCATCCAGGTGCCTTGGACTAATAGGAATTTCATCGTGACCAGTTATTTTCTCTCTTTCTCAAAGGCAGTTGCAGACTGATAAATGTCCTCAGAAAAGAGAGTGGAGGAGGATTAACTGCAGCTTTTCAACTTCAGGCTTTCAAACCTGCTCACATGGCTCCCAAGGAGCTGAACTATGATCATTCTTTCCCTTGCTGAGACCTCGTGCAAAATCTTTCTGCCAAGGGCAATGGGTGGGGGACAGCGGGAGATCAACCTCAACCCTGCAAAAATGGGACATCCTAATGAAGATACTGACAGAACCAGACACCATCGCTGAGTGCTGCAAAGAGAATTTACATAATGTTATTCTAACAGTTCAGTAAAAATGACATCAGTAAAAGGAGGTTTTCAAGAAAGAAGTTACCCCCAAACACACAGGGAGTGCAGCTGAGGGACTTGCTGTTAAGATTCCTTTTGTTACTTAAATCATCATTATTATTTCTTACTTACGATGTTAAAAGAGCAGGAGGATACTTGAAATAAAAGGCTGTGCATGCACAATACCCACACGAATAAATTCCAGCAATCCACACCAGCACCAGACGTGGTGCCCTTCCCTGGCCACTGAGCTAAGCCCTCCCTTTAGGAAGAGTAGGGGAATTCATCACCAAATATACAGTATATTGAAATGGAATGATACCAGGAAACAATGCTAATTGGAGTCTGAACGTGTCCTCCACGTGATCACGTTACTCTACTGTTAAACTCGGCAGAAAAGACAGTGAGGAAATAAAAGCTCAATTCACCCAGCCTGAGATCAAAACTGTCATGGCAATATTGGCAGGTTAGACCCTGATTCTTTAAATAGTACATTGCCTTTGTTAAACAAAAGTCATTCTTTTATTACGTAATAGAGATTATAAATAAATGTAAAGTGTGCATGCAGTCAACTGCATATTATACAAGCAATATCTATGTTAATAATTGTTTTCTTTGGCAGGCCAGAATCCAGCTGGACATGCAATATTTACATATCAAAATCCTTGGTGTGTTCAAGTCATATTGGATGCAAGTGAAAATATATATGTATATATATTTACCGTATACACACACACATATATATGTATAAAGGTATATATACACCTCTGCATATATACTGTATACATATATACACATAGGTATATGCTAAAAGTGGATTTCATCTTTTTCTGATTCAGGTGATGCAGGCCTTGAAACACTAAAAATATCCTGACAGGGTATCTGGGGGGGCTGCTGGGGTGATAAATGAGACTTTGGGGAAGAGATCTGGGGTACGTTCTTTTCGGACAATATTTTTAAAATTTCTGCCACCTGCTTCTCAAGGGCAGCCATCCTACTGCTTAGCAGCTGGATATCTTCTTTGAGTTCGTGCTTGACTTCCTGCAGCGTGGTTTGTAAGGCCTGCTCAGGAATAGGGTAGAAAGGATGCCTGGCATCAGCCTGAATGGGGCTGTGCTCCAGTGGGCTGCGAGTCTCACCAGCTTTATCCAAGCGAAGGTCACTTTTTGTTATTCCACTGTCACAAGAGTCTGTTTTCCTCAGTGGGTTTTTATTTACACCGTTCTCCGAGTCATTGCACTTGGGGTCATCAGACAGCAACCCCATGGACTCAGCCTTCGTGACGTTGTTCCAGTCCTCCTTCTTTTCCTCGTGGGTCCCCATCGTGTTCTTCAGTCGAAGCCACCCTTTCCCATTCCCGTTTTTCATACGCATGGGGCTGTTTACTTTCAGACATTTTTGGTCTCCATTTCCATTTGGCTTGAGCTCCATTGCATCCCGGTTGTTCTGCTTCACAGCCTCACAGGTTTTCATGTAAGCCAGGGACGTCTGGATGGGGGTGATCTGAGACACGGTGACCACGCTGGTACCTGTGATGGAAGCCCCGTTCTGCACGCTCCGGCTTTCCACCTGAAGCTGGTTCCTTTCTGGGTCGATGTGGGTTGAGCCTTGATTACGCATCTCCTTTTGCTGTTTGAATTTCTGGAAGAGTTTCCGCACAGGGTGGTCCACAGGGATGCTCAGCGTCACCTCGTTCTTCTGGCGCAGGCGTTCCTCTTCTTCCTTCTTGACATCACTGATTTTCCGGAAGATGATCTAGAGGGGATGAACCCACAACAGAGTCAGTACCCAAAGGACATTGTATATGGCAAACGTTACTGGGAGATGGAGAAACAGTATCGAGAGAAGAGCTCCTTCTCCCTCCTTTCTATCCTAATTTCTTATAACAAATTCTAATGGAGCTGATCAAGACACAGTAACCCCAGATGTAGATACATATATATACACACACACTTTCTTAAAAGTATAGATAAAAATGGACTTCACCTTTATATTTGATGCAGAAAATAGAGGCTTGAAGAACTAAAAATATCCTGACACCAAGAGAAGGAAAGAAACAATAAAGAGAAGAAAGAAAGCGAGCAAGCACCCAAATACTGTGATACCTACCTACTCATTACTCACACTCCAACCTGCTCCATCACTATCTTTAGTACAGATCAGAAGGGAACAGTAATTCAGTGGAGACTACACAGCTGTAAGCTTAACTCAACATACACAACCTTCCAGAGACTGGAAAATCCAAATGTGCTCAATACTTTTTAGCTGTGCTTACTGTAGGTTTTATAACAGTGGCTGGAGGGTGCAATTAGTTTCCCCATGCGCTGTGTTGTGTGGCTTCATGCAGCAACACAAGCGTTTCCTGGAGAGTTTATGTCTAATGTGTGGGTATACTGGGGGCACCATGAAGAAGCACCGTAACAGGGGTGTGTGATTATAAAACCCAGCAATATCCACCAGTTTGTGATGCCATGCCATTTAAAGCCACAGTTATTCCACCCTGCACCACCTCTCAGGCCTCAATAGAAAACGGAATCTGAGCTCCAAGCTGTGGAAGGATCCACAGAGTAAAAACCTTTCTGTTAATTTTATGCATGTTACCCATACAAAAATATTTTTTTTAGGCTCATCCAGTTTTCTTGAACGTGGAACTGATTCAGGATAGGGAAACTATTTCTCTGGATTATGATACCAAGGTGAAAGGTAGTATGTGATTAAATGCCAATATGGACAGTGTAGTGTAGTTATTTGTCTTAGTGTTGGTAAGCAAAATAAAATAAAGCCCCTGCAATACACAAAAAAACCCTGTGACAGTCAGATGTAGGTTTTGAAGTATCTGAGTATCCATAGTTCAGTATCTATTTCCTTTTTATAAAAAGGCTTCTCACACCTGTCCATACTTGGAAAGAAATAGTTGCTTTCAAGTCTCACATCTTCAGAAGCTGGCAGAGGAGTGCCACGATGGCTACAGCTCCTTCCCTGCATGAATCTGGGATGAGCTGGACTTCAAAGCTTCATTAAAGAGCTTTCAAACACAGTAAATATATCCCTGTGTGCTGCTGATAGATGCAGCGGCTTATAATAATTTGGAAATTTAACATGTTCATTCTAAGAGTTAAAAAAAAAAAAAAACCAAAAGAAAAAAAACACCCACACAACAGAGAAACATGGAAGATGCTTTCACCTGCCTCTTCTGACCTAGATGCAACAACACCTAACACTCATTTGGAAGCTCCCCTTCATTAGCACCTACCCTCACGGAGTTACTCTTTCTCTTGGACAAGGCACTGGGAAGAGCAAATAAAGGCAAGAGAAGTTGCCCTTGATTCCAAATTAAGTAATTACATTTAATTGAAGCCACATTCTCTAAATGAAGATTGGGAAGGTGGGTTGTGTTGTTCTGTTTTGCATGCCTTTTCCTGGAGGGCAGCGTGGCATCTTGCAGAGGAAGCAATGCTGAAAGCAAGCAGCTGCAGGGATGTGTCCCCAAGGTGTGTCTCAGACAAGAGAGCCATTTCCTCCCCTGGTCCCCCCATCCAGCCACACAGCTCTGCCCTGTGCTGTGCCAGGCCAGAGAGGCTGGGTCCTTGAAAACACCTGGGGTGGGGAAAACATCCCCTACCCAGTGTTTCCCTGCTCTGCAGCCATGATCCTGTTTCAGAGCCTAAGCACCCTACTGTCTCCCAGCCAGCTTGTGCCTGGAGTGACCACAGGCAGCCAGGGATGCCACAAAGCTGGCAGCTGCCCACAGCTGGGCAAGGGCTCCCAGTGCTCCCGTATCCAGTCCAGCACTGAACTCACAGTCAGGAGAAGCATGGGGTAACTTTGATAACCTCTGTCCCACCGGCTGTTTATAGTGATAACAACAAAGACCACAGCACCAGCTTTTTGTTTCCTCTCCAAACACTTGTGCTTCACTGAAAACCGCCCTCATCTCCCTTTTTTTCAACCAGCCTACTCTGTTCTTTCATTTCTCTCCTTTCCACTCTCAGTTCAAAACTTCTTCAGCCAGAGTTTATTTCCCTGCGCAGAATATAATTCCACATGACTGATACTGCTGCCTTCTGCAGAAGAAAAGCCATGACTTGGCTAATTTGACACCGCCTGTATCTCACACTCTTAAAGTGGGCCCCTCTGAAAGCCAGGAAATCACTCTAGGATTTTTGGCTCCAGAACCACTTGACTGGACATCACTCGGATGAGCCAAACCCAGCAGCACAGGGGTCTGAGCCCAGGCACTGCTGTGCCTCAGCAAGGGGCCAGCGCCCTGAGGAAGCTGAACACATCCTTGCTGCAGGGTTGGATGGCTGAGGTGACAAACACCATCAGATTTGCAGTGTAAATCTGCTTTGAAACAAGAACCCAGTAACCACTCACAGCTGTGAGCTTTCTCCCCACATAATGCCCATGCAGTGGAGAAGACATTCCCAAAGCCCTGCTGTCACCTCCCCAGGAGGTGTTCCTTCAGCCTCTTGCAGGACACAGGCAGGATCCTAGCAGAGCTCTTCAGTAAATCCTTTCCTCTTTCTCTGATTGGGACAGAAAGTGCTATACCCTGGAACGACTGTGGGCAGCATCTTTGAAGAAGCAAGCTTGCTGCATTCTGAATCAGTGCAGAAAATGCCCAGGGACTTGTAAATCCAGGGTTAGCTGGGTGTCAAGAATTCAGGACTGATCTCCCTTGGTGGAGCTCTATTTCCAAGGGAGCAAAGGTGCACTTATGCACAGCCCTGCACTCACCCTCCCTTCGGTTTTCTCATGAAACCTGGATGTGTCCACAGGTATTTGCTCTTTTCTTTTTCACTCTGAAATGTGTAACATTGCAGACCCTCATATCCCAGCCGACACTGTGAGATTACAGCACCTTGCAGACCAGGGACTTGGCCTTCATTCACCCACTGAACTACTCTGTCACTACAACAAAACCATTTCACCCCTGCGTCATCCCATGGAGACTCTATCCTCTTCAGGACATCCACCCTCAACCAAGGGAGCACTACACCTAGCATAGCAGAGATCCAGACTATTTGATATCATTACTATATGTATAAGTGAAAGAAAAGAAAGATCCTCTTATGCAGACAAAGAACGGACCAAAAAAGAGATGTGAATTCTAGCAGTAAGAGTTGGTTTTCATTACCAAATTTTTCCATATCAGGAATTTTTTTAATTTGGTTGGATTTAATCCAGTTCCACAGTGGTTTAACCTAAACCAGAATAGGATTAAATGTGTTTACATGGAGGCTTAATCCTATTAATGTCTAACAACTATTACTGGCTATTTTTCTCTATAAATAAAAACTGAAAGCCACTCATGCAATCTGACATTCCTCAGCAAACTCGGAGAGGCTTATTTTGAAATCTTAAATTAAATGAGCTATCTCAGTTGTCCCTGACCCTTTTCAGAGAGGTTACACATAGACCTGTCCAAATGTATGTCCCAGGAATAAATACAAACCCCCAGAGGAGTTAATCAGAAAAAATTGAATTAACTGTGTGTATAGCACATCTGGAGGAGTAAAGAGCCATACCCCCGTCTCATGGCAACTACTAGATTCATTAATGTCACAGAGATTCATTGTAGAACTTCATTTCCTTTATGGATGGGATTGTACCAGACTAACTGGAGCGACACAAATCCTGTCTCACGAGACCAGGTTCCTGTTTTTCTGGCTTTTAATGTATTTATTTTGGGAAGGAGGGGGAATGGAGTTGACATTAATTACTGAGCCGGCAAAGGTTAAGTAGAAGTTCACTGATGGCCAGCCTTTGGAAATGATCTATTTGGGCTATCTATGAGGCAGGCACAGAGGAGACAACAGCAACTTGAGATTCTCCATTTGATCTATCCCTTCCTTCCATACAGAGAGGTAACTTGCTGTGACTGTCAACTCAGCCCACCACCACTTTCAAAGAGAGTCCTTACCAAAGGTACTGGCAAGGTCCTCACTGGAGCTGCTCCTGTGAGGTGCCAGCTTGTATAACCAAACTCAAAGCCAACTTTAGACAAGTGAAGCAGCGATGAGAGGTCGGGAAGCCAGCTCAAGGTTAAGACACACCCAAGTTCTCCCATCTATTGCTGAATTAATCAGTAAACCTGTGGCCTTTCCAGACGCTTTGAAATGCATCCCTTGTCTGCTGTCTTTTTTTGTACCAGTATGGCAAAAATCATCCCTCCACGACCTTGCTCTGTTCAATAAGACCCCTTGATAAGTGATTCCAAGGAAGGTACATGAATGAATTAAAGACCTGGTAAAGGTCTTGAAGAATTTACAGTAAGTTCATAAAAGTGTCAAATATTTCACCAAAGATCAACCTGTCCCATTCCTAGAACATCCCATGCTGTTGTTAACGGTGTTCAATGCACACCTGCCCCTTACCATGGAAATTCAAAAGAAATGTATAACGGCATAGCAAAAGGGCACACAGTTGTCATGGTGATGAATACAGGGGGTGTGAAACAAGTGGGAGAGGGGCAAAGCCACACATGGCCATCAACATAAAGATTTTCAAAGCGACTAATAAATTCTGTGTGCCTAAGCTAAGGCATCCTACAGATGTGCCTGATGGGCAAGGGATGTTGGAGTCCTGCAGCAAGGGGAGACCCTGTCCTAGGAGAACTGGCTTGACCTAGCTCATTGCATGTTTCTGCAGTGCCAAAAACTGGAACAGAAAGCAAACACAAGGCTTCAGTGGCCATGGCTAGATATATTCATGTAGAGCAGAAGGAGAAGCTCTGCCATGAGGCTGGACTG